CCTCTGGAGTGCTAGAATTAAAGCTGTGCACCACACACCCAGCTCTAAGCTTTTCTCTAATCCTTTTCATAGGTTGGAAACTTAGCTGGATGGGATCTTGCTCTGGGGCCACCACTTCTTCTATTCCATTTAATCTGTTTATCTCCTTGAACACAGGATTTGGCTCCATTACACTTCTTAGTGCTCCTTTTCATTATAAATCTTCACTACAGTTACCACTAATCACCATACAACAGAGGCTGTTTTGAGATTTCCTCTGCCGGTGCAGTTAATCCAAAAGGCTCCACTTTAGTCTCAGGCAGACTTTTCAGACAAGGGCAAAAAGCCTCCACACTCTTCACCAAATATCACATTCTTCTCTGAAACTTCCTGATCCAGGCCCCCACGGTTCAGTTCAGTTCACACTCAGCACCAGCACAGTTCAGTTCACACTCAGCACCAGCACAGTTCAGTTCACACTCAGCACCACTGTTCTCCATGCTCCTACTAGGATGGCCCATTCAGCAGCAATTAAAGCATCCAACTGCTTTTCTAATCCACAGTCCCAAGGTCCACATTCCTTCCAACAAAAGCATGGTCAGGCCTGTCACAGCAATACCCTAGTTATTGATGTGAAGAGAACTATGACCACAGCAACTCTTATAAAGAAAAACATTTAAGTGGCTTGCTTACGCTCAGAGGTTTGGTCTATCATCATCATGGTGACATGCAGGCAGACATGGTGCTGGAGAAGCTGAGTGTTTTACATCTTGACATGCAGGTCAATAGGAAGTGAACTGAGACAGTGGGTGTATCTTGAGCATAGGAGACCTCAAAGCCCACCCCACAATAACACTCTGCCTCTAACAAGGCCACACCTACTCCAACAAGGCCATACCTCTGAATAGTGCCACTCCCAATGAGTTTATGGGAGCCAATTACATTCAAACCACCACAAACTCAAAATAAGAAAAATGAAGTGCTTAGTAATTTTAATTGTTAGTGTTTAATCATACACTAAAAATTAGATTATTCTAACCCAAACTAGGAAACAAGGGTTAGAAGTAAAAAAGCTTACAGATGCCTATGGATTTCTCCACATGTAGCAGTTGACTGGGGAGGCAAACATTAGTGAGATACACATGGTCCTGTACACAGCCCTAGTGAAACTCGGTGGCTCATCAAAACAAAAGACAGGGAAGTAGGGGGACTAGTTGGGAAGAGGAAGGACATTAAGGAGGGAGGGTGACTAGAAGTTAACTGGAAAGTTAATATCTAGATACACTATGTATGTGTTATGAAATTGTCAGTAAAACCCATTGTTTTGTGTAACAAATACATAGATGTGCTAATAAAACATTTAAAAATAATTATTTCATCTTTTATATAGTAAACTGCCAAAACAAAGACATGATAAATATGAGGAGATGGGGGGAGAAGAATTAGTATAATACATAAGAGTAATAACATATGATTTAGGCATATGATTAACTGCTACCAAACTGGATAAAGTAAAATCCTCCATTAACAAAAGTCATGAAATGATACAGAGTAAAACAAAACTGCAGTACCTACATCTCAAGTGCAGAGCAAGCAGCAATGGCCATTCTATGCAGAACTATGGTTCTGGAGGAAAGGCATTAAACATGGCACTTAAGGCATAACTGAAATTCTCCTCAAGTCCAAATGGCACACAGAGAAGCCGCTGATTGTATGCATCTATGACCCCAGCATTCAAGAGGCCAGGTAAGGCAGAAGAGTAACAAGCTCACAGCCAGCCCAGCCTAGATACTAGAGCCTTGGTCTTAAAAAAAAAAAAAAAGCATGGCTAGGAGGCAGAGGCAAGTAGCTTGAGAGGACTTCCCTGCCAGCCAGAGCTATATAGGGAGAATCTGTCTCAAAAAGAAAAAGTCACTGTGCTTGTCTGTTTAAGAAGGACTTAAGTCTGTAAGTGAAGAAAAAGCTGCCTACAACTTGGTTTTGAAAGAACAGGTCCTATTAAATGAAGCTTCCTCAGAAGGTTCTTTCGTGAAGACCTTGATAGATGTGAGATCCATACAGCTAACCTGGAGTTTAGATGTGGAAATTAGAAAAAAAATTACTAGTTGTGCTTATGATAAACAGAAGTTATAATTCTTGGAGTAGTTCAGGAATGAGTGCCTGCAAATGGGAAAAAGCAAAAAGAAACAGGAGGCCACATATTTGTGATGGTCCACAAAGTTTCTGTCCCGCCTGGTTCCACAGCTGTGTGGTCCCAAATAAACACACAGAGGCTTATATTAATTATAAACTGCTTGGCCAATGGCTCAGGCTTCTTATTGGCTAGCTCTCTCTTAATTACTGACCCATTTCTATTAAACTATGCATTGCCACGAGGCTGTGGCTTACCCATAGTGCTCCCTTACGTTACTCCTTCTGTGGCTACATGGTGTCTTGCAACTTATTTTCTGCCTTTCTTTCCCCAAAATTCTCCCAGTCTGATAGCCCCACCTATGCTTCCTGCCTGGCCAATCAGCATTTTACTAAACAATAAGAGAAACACATATTCACAGCACACAGAAAGACATCCCCCATCATCTCCACTTTTCTGTCTAAATAAAAAGGTTTTAACTTTACCATAGTAAAATTATATATAACAAAACAGTTATCAAGCAAGATCTATAGTTAATAATATTTAGTTCAGTAACATTTTGCAAAATTTAAAGAAAATATTCTATTATCTAACCTATCTTTGTGAGTCTGAAGTTTTTATTTGTAACTTACCATAAATAAGGAAAACCATAACTATCTGCCTTCAACTCCATCAAAGACTTCAGAAGGAAAGTATATAAACTCTAGACTTGACAGAGACATCCCACTGCCTGGACAGTCACCCAAAGTTTCTCTGAATGCTAGAGCATCCACCTTCAGCCCATAGGCCATATTGTCTGGCAGATTTTTTTTTAATGAAGTAGGAAATTTGAAGATCTGTTCTGTCTTGTGTTGGCAAAATTTGTCAGTTGCTTTCTTATGAAAAGCAAGAACCCTGAAGGACCACTTTGTCTCTTGGCAAGTTCTACAGTCCTTATTTTCCTTTGTAACTGGCTTGTCCAGTTTGGACAGCGTGCTCAGCGTCAGAAGTTGAGGCAAGGGCAGTTCTTTGCCCAGTTGGCCAGTTTTGCCATATCGAAGACAAACTCCATAAGGAGTTTCTTCAATGCCCATCTTCCTGTCAGACTTAACTGATGTTGACAGGAGCAGTTCTGTCTCATTGTCAAGGAAAACTCTAACCATTTTAAATATCATATTCTATAGGTCTTTGAAAGGTTTTTGAAATATCCATTTGAAATATATCTCTGTATAACTTAAGTTTTGACTATTATGAGTGACTATAATCTGTATTTAAATATACAGTACATTTTTAAAAGAGCTATATAAACACAACACCTAAACAACAGGAATATACATATAACAAAATTGACCTTATATTTATATCAATAAACCAAAATCTATGCCAATGTATTCATTTCTATATCACATTCCCTTTTTTTTTTCTTTAGAAAGAAACTGGCTGTGAGCATTAACCATTTATACCCAACCCTGTTTAAATGAAAACATTTATAAATAATATTTGGGAATGGGGGCTTAGTGCTCTCCGAACTGCTTCCTGCTGTTTGGGGCACTGCCAATCCCATGGGGATCCTGAGAAACCCAGAACCCTATCCAAACCCTGTCTGTAGTAGTCAGAGGCTGCATGGTCTCAGCTGTCTTGGATGTTGGATCACCTGGGACACTGCTTCAGGGGGTCTTGTTTGATCAAACCATGTTAGTCTGGAAGGAATCCACAGCTTTTCATCTGTGGAAACAAAAGCAGAATCTCTTTTCCAAAGTAACATGTCCTTAGACTTAAATTTCAAAGTCAAGGCATTTTCAAAATATATGGGTTGGATTAATCCTGCAGCATTTATAACCAAATGTCTTTTAGCAGCTGGTGCTCCTTCCTCAGCAATCAATTTAACGACAAAACCATTAACACACAGTATCCAGACTCTGTGCACTTTCTATCTTTCCATGGCTTTTTAAAAAATAGTTTATTTATTCTTATTTTATGTGCATTGGTGTTTTGCCTGAATGCATGTCTACATGAGGGTACCCGATCTTGGAATTCAGACAATTGTGAGCTGCCATGTGAGTGCTGGGAATTGAACCCGGGACCTCTGAGAGACCAGTAAATGTTCTTAACTGCTAAGCCATTTCTCCACCAACCCCCATGACTTTATTATTACTACTACTACTCTATTTCTTTTATTATTTTTTAACTTTTATTTATTTATTTGTTTATTTATTTTCTGTGTGTGTGTGTGTGTGTGTGTGTGTGTGAGAGAGAGAGACTTGGCTGCCCTTGAACTCACTCTGTACACTATAGGCCAAGCTGGCCTTGAACTCAGAGATCTGCCTGCCTCTGCCTCTGCCTCCCAAGGGCAGGGCAGGCATAGTACTGTTACATACAATTCCATAAACGTGTATGTTGAATGTCGAGCATATTCCCCCAACCTTTTTAACCTCCCCTTTGTTGCCCCTTCCCACTTCCATTAGTCCTCTTTATTCTCAACCTGTGGGTTGTGATCCCTTGGGGTCGAACGACCCTTTCAGAGTGCGGTGCCAAAATTTCTGCAAAGTGCCGGGCTCTGAAAATTGAACTTTACCAAGTTGAAAGCAAGCTGCGGAAACCGAGGCTACATAGCTGAGCATCGAAGGGCATTTTCCTGCCAAATCTAACCAGTACCTGGCTCCAAACTCCAGGCTCTCCCTGGTGAACAGCCCCGCTACACCAGGCGAGCCCACCGGCGGGAGTGAAGCAGGCTGAGGAAACTAACGCCTGACAGCCCCAAGGCACCCGCCCCCGACCCGCCCTGCACCCTTCTCGCGAGACAGCTTTACAAGCGACCGCTTTACACCGGAACCAACCTGTGAGGTGAAACCCACAGCCGGCCGCTTTAGGGGTAGGACTTCCGCCGGAAGGGCGGTCGGTCTCCGAGCTCCGAGTCAACTTCCGGCTGGTGTTGGGCCTGTAGAGCTGGCGGGGCTGCGGGCAGTGCCGTGGAGATGGCTTGCGCAGCCGCGCGCTCCCCGGCCGATCAGGACAGGTGGGTCCTCGGGAAGGTGGCCGCGGCGCCACTGGGCTCGGGGCTTTCTCCCGACCGGAACCCCGACATCCCGCAGCTTCCGAGCCCGGCAGCAGCTCGGTCCCCCGTAGCTGTGGCGGGCTGTGCGGTGCCGTAAGGACCTGACGTTAGAGAGGAGTCTCCCGGCCGCAGACGCAGTCTGCATTAGTCTGCTTTCCAGAGGCTCGCCTGGCGTCCTGTTTTCCCGTGTCGTGTACGAGCGCCCCGGCCTCGGGAGCTGCTGTGTCAAAGTAACAGTTGCGGCCTTGCTTCGCTTCAGTCATTGTGTGTGTGTGTGTGTGTGTGTGTGTGTGTGTGTGTGTGTGTGTGTGTGTGTACACATATTGACTGAATGTGGTCTTTGCAATGACGATGAAACTGACGCTTCAGTCGTGTGTGTGCGCGTGCGCGCGCACATATATGTATATACATATATACAGTATATATATATACACACATACTTACATACATACTGACTGAATGAGGTCTTTGCAATGACGATGAAACTGACCCTTTTAAATTATCACCTGAGTTACCCAGCTTTGCTTTTTTGTGTGTTTTTGTGGCAGGTTTATTTGTATCTATCCCGCTTATTTAAATAATAAGAAGACCATAGCCGAGGGGAGGCGGATTCCTATAAGTAAGGTGAGTGTGTGACACGTAGGCCGATGAAGGCTTGGGGAAGGTTGCCTTGTTATGGCCACGACTGTTTCTTTTTTTACTGTCCTTTGAGATTGAAGAACACAGAAGCCAAGATTTGCAGTGTCTCCGTTAACATTGGTGAAACTGGAAAGGCACTGCTTGCAAAACGAAAGAGGATTCTTAATGATCTGTTTGTATGTAAAAGGTGTATAAATAAGAAGTGTCTGTAGAGTTCTTACGTTTTAAAACCAAGATTATGACAGTCTTCTCATTAAAAGCCACGTGATGGCATTGTACCACGGCGTCAATGTGCTTGATGCAGACTAGCTTTTTTAGTGTATAGGAATAAAGGTTTGTGCAAAGTGCAGCTTTGTTGAGCTTTGTCTTTAGTACTTTTTTAAGGAGTATAAAATCACTTTAAAGGTAGTACTTTTGGAAAGTGGATGTGGGAGATGGGATGTAGCGCCATTGGAGAGTTCTTAGCCCTGTGTTTGAAGCTCCTATCAGTGAGAACAGGATTAGGCAGGTTATTGGATTTACAGTTCTAAAATATGTGAGCTTTGGGGAGGAAAACCTTAATTTTGGGCTGGCTGGTAACTTAAGCTTAGAAAGTGCCTGGTGCTAAATGAGAGACCTCACAGAATTTTTATGTAATATTCTACTTTTAGAATCATTAAGTTTTATAATCAAGTGAGGTCTGAAGCAAAGAATTAGCTATTTGTGTGTGAGTATCTCTCACTTGGCTGTTACTTCAGAGAGTAAACTCTAAAATCCACTGTGCCTCTTCCCAAGTACTGTTGAGAATGATGCCAAACATCAAAGCACTGTGACAGGCTTTTGATCACTGCTCCCATATGCTCTCTGAAAATTTTGGTTTTGTTTTTGTTTTGTTTATATATATAAGAAAATCCATGGGTGTATAGCTAACAAACTTGACAAAAGTTTTTAATTGCATAAATTGAATAATTATCATCTAGGGAGTAGAGTTGGTTACAGCACCCAGATTTAGGACACAGCATGCTGGAAGGTTCCTTCTGTCTCCCTCTCTATCCCCTGTGCTCACTCATGTAAGGGAGCTGCTTGTCAACACCGTAGGTCACCTTGGCCTGGTTCTACATTCTATATGTATGGAATTATTCATTATGTACCTTCCTGTCTTTCTCACACATTTGTAACTCTTACATTTTGCATGTTCTGTTGCTTGGGAATGACTTTGCGACCTCAGATAGGCTAAGCAAGTGCTCTGTTGCTAAGCAACACCCCCAGTGTAGTCTAATTGCTCAAGCAGGAGTTTCTTAGCAGCAGCACCATTGTCTGTTTTTGTTTGTTTTAAAGATTTGTTCCATTTTTTATTGTTGTGTATATGTGTAAGTGTCGATGTGTGGGAATGTGCACATGTGAATGTCGGTACTGTGGAGGCCAGAAGAGGATGTCAGGTCCCTTGGAGCTTGGGTTCCTGGTATGGGTGCTAGGAACTGAACTTGGGTCCTCTGCAAGAGCAGTACAAGCCCTCAGTGCTGAGCAATCTCTCCAACCCCAATTGACATTTCTGAGTCAGATAAGTGTTTGTTGTGGATGACTGTCTGTGTATTTTAAGGTGCATGATAACGTCCCTGGCCTCTACCTGCTAGAGAAAGTTCCCTTTCTCAAATTGTCTTAAAGCAGAATTGTTGTCCAAAATGACCAGATGTTCCCGGAATAGAGGCTGTATAAACTCCCCACCCACCCACACACACACACACAATCACACTACAGTGTACTGCAATGTGTGAATCCCACACTTCTTTATTCTGTTTCTAGTTTGAGGCTGTTATAGATAGTGCTGTGGGACTAGAGAGGTGGCTCAGTTAAAAACACTGCTTTTGCAAAAGACCTATTCCCAGCCCCCGCATGGTGGCTCACAACCGTCTGTAACTCCAGTTCCAGGGGATCCATGGCCACTTTGGCCTCCACGGGCACTGCACAAATGTGGTGCACAGACATACACATACACACATACACACATACATACATACATACATACATACATACATACATACAAAAATAAGTGAGACAAATATAAAGTGCTACTATGAACATTCTTTAGCTTGCTTGTCTTCTGCACTTATTGAATATATACCTGAATTTCAGGGCCATAGGAAATCATATATTCAGCTTTAGTAAATAGCAGTCAGTATTCTAGAATGGTTGCATGTATAATCATTTAAACAGTCAGTTTACATTGATTTTTGTGCTGTGTTCAGAATATTCTGCTAGGTGCTAGGATATGTACTGGGGAAGTCCTTTTTCTCACGCAGTTTATGTTGGAAGAGAAAGAAACACAACTGTGTTATTCCTGAGGTTTTTTTTTTAAATTATAGTAGAAATTAATGGACTTAGTTTAAAAAAAGGACACTAGGGTTTAGTCTCTGGTTTGGTCATAATATTAGAAATTATTTACACAACCATATAGTAATATTCCCTTAAAACTCAGCTGTCGAGTGTTTTTGTTTTTTACTGTTCAGGCTGTAGAAAACCCTACTGCTACTGAGATTCAGGATGTCTGCTCAGCAGTTGGACTTAATGCATTTCTGGAGGTATGATGTGAACCTCTCATCACTGTGTTTGATACTCACCTCACTGATGATAACTCTCTGAAAGCCTGTTTTTGTTTTTCTTATGTGTGTTAGAAAAACAAAATGTACTCCAGAGAATGGAACCGTGATGTTCAGTACAGAGGCAGAGTCCGGGTACAGCTCAGACAGGAAGATGGCAGCCTCTGTCTTGTACAGTTCCCATCACGTAAGCCTTTTCAAATGAATGTGTAGGGTTCAGGGGTAGTTATCTTGTACAGAGAGTACACATACCACACATCTGTAGCCCCAGCACTCAGGAAGCTGAGGCAGGATTGCTGCAGCAAGTTCAGTACCTAGTGGGCTATAGAGTGAGTTCAAGACCAACCTGAGCAAGTTTTTAAGGCCTTGTCTCAAAATAGAAAACTTAAGAAATCTAGAGGTGTGGCTAAGTGGTGGACTGCCTAGCATGCCCAGGGTCCTGGGTCCAAGGCCCAGTACAGAAAAATCAAGGGACTAATGGTCAGAGAACACTGAGCACCTAGAAGGTGGCTTAGAGGGTAAAGGCACTTGGTGGCCTTCCTTCAGCCACAAAAAGGTGAAAAGGAAGCAGTGACTCCACAGTTTCCCTCTGACCTTCACACGTGCACCCTGGCATGCATGCGTGCCTGCACACATATCATGTACATGCATACACACACGGGATGATGGTTCTAGTTCAGAAACAATGTCGCATCATCTTTAATACTTATCTTTTTATTTTTTTAATGCAAATATTCTAATTTAGAGCTATTCACTTAATTTTTCCCCTTTAATTTAAACTCTTGAATTTTTTTTTTTTTTTTGAGACAGGGTTTCTCTTTGTAGCCCTAGCTGTCCTGGAACTCATTTTGTAGACCAGGCTGGCCTCAGAATTCACAGTGATTCACCTGCCTCTGCCTTCCAAGTGCTGGGATCAAAGGCATGCACCACCACTGCTGACAACTCTTCAATTTTATTAAAGTAAAAACAATTACATTGTCAGGCTAAATTAGCAGTGTAATTGTTTGTTTTTAATTAAGTGGATTGAATCTTATGGATCAGCCACGGCTGGGAAAGTGGCTCAGTGGTGAACACTTGCCTAGCAGCATGCACAGAATGCTTTCTGGTTTGTTTTCTCATCAACATTTTCCCTTACTGCTTCAGTGGACCAAAAATAGGCACACAAAAGCTTTTGATTGAAAAGCAGCTAAAAGTTGTTGAAAGATAATACTTCCTCTTTCTATAAGACAGGAAACAGACATCAAAGCTGTGGAGGTTGGTAATGATGAAGCAAAAAATAGGTGCTTGATGTGGTTAGACAGAGCAGAAGTGGGCTGTGTGAGAGAGAGGTGTGGGCCTAGGAATGGGGTCCACTGTTGGTCGTTTAACGTTTGGATTCCCAGGCTAAGAGCCCTGTGTTTCAGTGAAAGTACAATGATGCTCTATCTCTAATCTTCTGTGCTTAGTCTCCATTGAGGCTCATGCCAGTTGCTAGGACCAAGGCAAGAACTCTTGGTTCACACTTACTGTTTTATATTTCCGTTTTGCTCATTTAAGCATTTCAGTATTTCTAAGATCGTCACACTAAACCTCCCTTCTGGCTTTTAGGTAAGTCAGTGATGCTGTATGTAGCAGAAATGATACCCAAGCTAAAAACAAGGACACAAAAAACGGGAGGTGCTGACCCGAGTCTTCAGCAAGGGGACGGGAGTAAAAAAGGGAAGGGAAAGAAGAAGAAATGACGTGGTGTGAACACGAAGCACACAGTCCTGCGAGAGAGACGGGAACAGCTTTTTGTTTGTGTCATTTAACTCAACTGTGAACAAGTGTGTCTCCCATCTTCACCAACAAGAGTTAACAATGAGATAAGTTTACATCAGACGTTTGCAGCTAGCTTTTATACTGTAAAAAGGAAAGATTGTGTGGAAGAAAGAAGAATATTTTTAACAGATAACAACTGTCCCATAAGTTACTTGAAATCCTGTTTCTGTTTGTCCTCTATGTAAACATATATTTCAGGTAAATAAGTTTAATAAAATTTAAAATACACATTTTGTTCACCTTTTAAGTTAATGAAATAAAAAATTTAAGCTGACTTCCATAGCTTTCACTTATGAAGCAATTAATTCCAGTAAAACTGTTGAAGCGTGGATAGTGTAAATGAGACAGAAGATGACTGGGAAGGGACGTGAACGCGGTGTACCCTGTGGCCTGCTGTTACTGTATCCTGTAACCTGTTAGGTAAGGTCAGCAGCTCCATTTGCAGCTTTAAACTTGTTTATGTGTTAGTCTTATGACTATTGGCTCTGTGAGTAAAGGGTTTGCAACACAAGCACCTGAGTTCATATCCTAGCATACTGGCAAAAGCCAGGTACAGATTGTGGGAGACGGAAGGATCCCAGGGGTGGGCTCCTAAAAGAATATGGAGGGTGACAAAGAAGACACTTGACGTCAACTGCTGGCCACCACACACACGTGCATGAACACATCACACAAAACATTTCAAAGTGGTGTCATTCAATATAATCTAACACCCTGGAGGTGGAGGCAGGAGGGTCAGACATTCAAAGCTGGCCTTGGCTACATACATAATCCAGTTTCAGGTCAGCCTGGACTACATGAGAAACGGTCTCAAGACAAGTCAGACATTGTTTGCACCAGAGTTCTAAGAGTGACCTGTGCTTGAGCACCTGGAATCCACTTTCTTTGAAGAAAGTAACTTGGAAAGGTCCTCCCGAAGGCATTCCAAAGCACTTCCTGGAATGGTGGCTTTGAGCTGTTGTGGCTCCTGTCCTCTGGTACAGCTGTGTTGCCCTCCTGAACTTTTAGCAGCAACAGGTAACCAACAGGAGGCCCTCACTGAAAGCCTGCTAGCTTTTAGTCATGGTGGCCCCACCCTAAAGACATAGGGAGTTAACAGGGAAGGCACCCCCCAGAGGATCTGTTGGCAGTTGCTGGAACGGTGTGTGGTGGTGGCTGCGGCGGCAATGTTTTCTTCGTGGTATAGTCAATCGTAAGTCACCCATGCACCTGTAAGGACCCTAATTGTGATGATTTGAATACAAATGCCCACGTAGACACATATAGTTGAATACTTAGTCACCAGGAAGTCAGGAAGTGGCACTCCTTGAGAAGGGTTGGAGGGTGTGGCCTTGTTGGGGGGAGAATGTCACTGGGGGCTTCAGGAGCCTAAGGCAGGCCCAGTTTCTCTCCCTGCTGCCAACAGATCCAGACACAGTGCTCAGCTTCTCCAGTACCAAGTGTGCCTGTGTGCCACCATGCTCCCCACCCAGGATGCAACGACTAAATCTCTAAAGCTGTCAGCAAGCCCCCAATTAAATGCTTTCTCTTATTAGAGTCTCACAGCAACAGAACACTGGCTAAGACACTAATCACACTCATTAGTTCACCAAATAAGACTTGAGTGAAATCATTGCTTTAGTCTGTTTTTGTCTGGGGTAAATTGTTGTTTGTTCATCTCTAAGAGAAGTTCACATGCTTGCTACCTAAATGTGGAGCACAACAGAACTAAGCAGGAGTCTGGGAGTTGCATTGTCTCTACCGTTAGTGAAGAGCCATGCAGCTGCTGTTATCTGAAGGTAGAATGCTCGCAGGGTTAATCCCAATATTAGCATTAGCAGTGGCTTGCCCCTGCCATGGGTGGAAGGCAACTAAGCAACGCTTATTATGAAGGCAAAGTGTCCCTGGGAAGAATCCTAGGGCAGCAAAAGGAGAATACATCCCTGATGAATAGGGTCCACCTAATGAACACAGGAATGCCCCCCCCGAAAATGGCTAATGGACTAAGAATATATTACAGGGGCTGGAGAGATGGCTCAGCAGTTAAGATCACTTGCTACTCTTGCAGAAGACAGGATCTTAAGCAGTCTACAGCATCAGTCAGTGCTGTGGCTTTTGCTCTGGGCAATAAGACATCAAACTGAGGCTGAGTTATTCCTAGAAAAGAAATCTCATGTGTACAGAGAAACTGCAATGAGACAGACATGGTAGATATTAGCATGCACCGGACTTTGAGTTAGCCAGAAAGGGAAAGGGGAAAAAATGAGATGGAGGCATTAATGTGCTCTGCCTTACAGCTAGGGTGCCTAAGGGAAAGTACACACTAGGCCTTCCTGGGAGCCCAAAACTCAGAATCAGGAAGCAGAGAGTAAAGGGACAGAAGATAGCCCCAGGTTTGACCTTACACACAGGGGAAGGGACCGTCCATGACACAGCATGAAGGACACTATGGTAACCAGAATAGTTTGCCTTTGAAACGGTTGGTTTGGAAAAGAATTACTTTGGAGGACAAGGACGAAGATAGCCTGCACTGGCCAGAAACAAGCTGAAGCTGACGGTGACCTTGAACTGACCCCTCTTCCACTTCTAGAGGCTAGGGTTACAGGCCTGAGTGCCGCAGCCTGGTGTATCCCCTGTGGTACTGGGCTTGAGCCCAGGCCTAACGCACACTGACCCAGCATTCTACCAACCCAGCTACAGCCCCAGCAGAAAGACTAAAATGGACGTTTTAATTATTGCTTTGTGTGTGAGTATATGGAAGTTAAAGAATGACTTCCAAGAACCAGCTTTCTCCTTGCACCATGAGGGTCCTGGAGATCAAACTCAGGTTGACAGAGTTGGTAGCAAGTACCTCTACCTACTGAGCTATCTTGTCAGCTCCAGGAAAGACTTTAAAACAATTTTTTTTTAAGATTTATGTATTGAGTATACAGTCCTGCCTGCATGTATACCTGCAGGCCAGAAGAGGGCACCAGATCTCAGTACAGATGGTTGTGAGCCACCATGTGGGTGCTGAACTCAGGACCTCTGGAAGAGCAGCCAGTGCTCTTAACGTCTGAGCCATCTCTCCAGCCACGGGAAGACTTTTAATTGTTTTATATTATATTCACTTGTATGAATGTGTGCACATGTGTAAGTCAGAGGACACCTTGCAGAGGTTGGGTCTCTGCTTCCACTGTGTGGGTCACACACACACACACACACACACACACACACACACACACGCGCGCGCGCACGAGCATACACGCATACACACACATGCACACACACGCATGCACGTACGTGCGCGCACACACACACACACTGTAATTTTAAAAGCCTACTTCATAGCCAAGAGTAGCACTAGGGGGGCTAACAGAAGATCAGCATGAGTTCAAAGCCATCTGTGCAACTAGCAAATGCCCCTGGCTCCAGCAGCCAGGCACTTGCCTCCCAGCAGTCAATAGTGTGGGCCTATGTACTACACAGGGAGAGGTGGCCACAGGAGCCTCAGCATCCATGTGGCTCTCACATCCACTCCTAACAACAGATGAGGAGCAGAGTGCCAGGCTGAATCCACAAAGCAGATAATCCCTGTGGGAATATGGCTGGGATTCTAATTCCTGCAGCAGTCTAAAGCCAAATGGTATTCCCCTTTGCACGATAGCTCCTGGTTCCAGTACACTGCAGTTACTGGGAGATGACAGTGAGTCGTTTCCCAAGGTCAAGCTACTGTGCAGCTTTTACCCAAGTGTCCTGCAACCCTAAGAGCATAGATGCTTCCAAGCTGCTGTGGTTGCCAGCACCAGTGTTGGGAAGTTCACTGGGCCCTGTCTCTAGAGCTAGGCCGTGGGTGTTGGGAGTATTTCTGTTGTTCCAGATCAGTAGGTCTAACAAGGTCCCTCTGGATTCCAGCATTCCCCAGTATCACCCACCTCACAATGCAGCAACACACCTGATACATCTGTTGTGGACATGAGGCTGCATGCCTGTCAATCATTTTATTTCCTGGTCTTTTATATCATGAGAGGCTGAGTTACTATTATAGTTACAAGCCAGGAAAACTCAACAGGTTGTTTCCAAATGTGTTTACTTGTCTGTCCTACCACACAGAGCCATGTTAGTTCAGGGCCTGAACTGTGCCTGCCCCACCAAACACCATGATCACAGACACACAAGGAAAGCAGCTGTGTTTTGGGATATTTGGTCACATTGTGAATCCCGAGATTGCATTAATTAAATAAAAACAACCTTAGGTCAAGAGGCAGAGCCAGCAACTAGTTGACAAGTAGCCGCCATAGAGATTAAGAGGAAGTCAGAAAAACCAGATAGAGAAATGCACGGGAAGTAGCGAGAAGGAACTTTGAGTCCGGCGACTCTTTTGGTTTGGGACAGCAAAAGAGAAGCTCCTTCTGAGACGCTGGCTAAGGAGGAAGGTCAGCGCTTGCTCAGCCTCACTGAGCTAGCAGGCTTTCACCCCAGCATCTGACTCCCAAGTCTTTAACAGTAAAATCCTAAGATTGAACTTCAGTTTAAAAACAACAGAGCTTTAAGAAACCACTGACCAGACTGCATCCTCTACTACATGCCTGCCTGACTTTGGTGCTGGTAATGAAACATGGGGCCTCACCCAATGCTATGCTTCACCATAGAAGTTGTGTTTCAAAGAACATTCACAGAGGTTTGTGAGGGGATTTTGTTTGCTTTCCCCTCTTCTTCCTTTCAGTCTGGGTCTCTTAGAACAGAGGGTACAGAATTATTTAGAGGCTCACATAGTTAAGGGGTAGTGTTACATGCCTGTAAACCTAGCCCTGGGAGGGATGGGGGGATGGTGCAGAGGATGGCGATCTGAAGGAGAGCCTGGACTATATACACAGTAGACCTGCCAATGTTCACTGTGTGTGTGTGTGTGTGCATGCGCGTGTGCACATGCGCACGTGTGGGTGGGTGCATGCACTGTATACCGTGCATGCAGGCAGAAAGCCGTGTGTGTGTGTGTGTGTGTGTGTGTGTGTGTGTGTGAGTGTGTGTGTGAGAGAGAGAGAGAGTGTGTATGTGTGCACACTATATACTGTGCGTGCAGGCAGAACGCCATGAGTTGTTCCTTCCCAGGCTAGGCTACTCACTGTTTGATGCAATCAGCTGGAATGCCCTCTTTAGGCACCTTTAACAAACCAGCCTCTAAAAGGAAAAGTATAAACCAAGTGAGGAATGGGGTTAATAAAATTAAATTCTCATTTAACTATTAGATTCCATTTTATTTTGTGGGAATTTTTTTTTCTTAACTCAGATTTTAGCAAAATTTCTAGTAAACAGGATAAACAAACACTAAATGTGGCTAGTTACTTATTATCATCCCCTTATCTGGGGTTTAATTTATGAGACATCAGCCACTCTGAAACACAGCATGGCATTACAACACATCCTGAGGCCAGAGAAGGCTGTGTGTGTGAAGGCGCTGGCCACCAGGCCTGACAACCTGAGTTGGGTCCCATCACATGGTTGAATGAGACCCAACTTCTACAAGTTGACCTCTGACCTCCACAAGTACACTGTGGCTTATATGCCTATGCCTACACACATAACACACACACACACACACACACACACACACTAGCATAATAAAAAACATCTTAAGATACTTTGAGAGACCAATCTTTATTATAGTTTATGTTGTAATCTTCTCTATTCTAATTCTTACTTTGTTCAATCAATAAACACTGTCACAGATGTGTACACATAGGAGACAGTTGACAGAGTTCAGTACTCTTCCAGTTTCAGGCAAACAAGGAGTCTGGGAACATAGAAGGGATGCCAGCACACCATTTCTAATTGGTGTATCACATCTCGAGGACAAGCGGTATTTATTTAAAGCTATGAGTGTTTTCTGCAGGTATGGATAGAGGGCTCTTTTCCAAAAACAGCAGTAATGCTGACTTGAATGACTGAATTGGGGAGATAATTGCTGCAGGAACTCTTTGGAACATTGAGAGTGTAGTAGGAATTCTGTAACTTTACATGCCATGAGATACCACTCAGATGAAAATAAATGCTTTGCTTCCAGCCAGACACAGGCTCAATTCATTCTCAACACTCTAAGTCATGCTATTATTTTATCTGGGGAAGACAGGAAGACAGAAGTTAATTCAGAACTTCTCCCACGGACATCTACTTCCACTACAGGAAGCAGCAGCATGCTTCCTGCAGAATCACTATGAAGAAAGCTGAAACCAGAAGTAGCTTGAATTGCTTTTCAAAGAACACGGGGTGGAGAAGGACTAAGAAAACTTGTTATCCGTCTCAGCATCTCAAAACCAGATGAATGTAAAGCAGGTGAGATGACATTACTACTGCTTCTGAAGGGGACTGGAATTGACCACTGGTGCGTGCATTTATTTTCCTGTTTATCACTAGTGTGGCTACCTGCTCGACAGGCTGTCCTGGCATTCAGCATTGAAGCCAACTTCCTTTCTGCACCGTGTCTCACTGTGTTCATCTGTGTGTAACTCACTTGCACTGGTTTTCTGAAATGTTACTTGGAAGCTCACAATATCAGAACAGCACCTTTCAGCCTTAGCGGTTACAGGTGCCATACACAACCTTCTCCTGGTCTCTCCCTCTCAAGCACTGTGCATGTTCTAACTAACAACAACATTCTCCTGTATAGATATATGTATGCACAAATACACTAAAAACACAGAACTATATGAAGTCATACACCATACAGAGCAGAATCATAATGAATTCCTACTTGTTAGTACAAGAAAATGCATGCAGGGTGAGCCCTACACAGCAAAGGGCTTACGGACATAGATTTCCAATCTTTGTTTGTATTTCCTGGAAAATAGTGACATGTCTTCCTACTCAGCAAAGTATTTTTTAAAAATTTAGATATTCTCCACTGTGTTAGATTTAAATGAAAATGCTTCCTACATACATGACAATAAAAGCAAAACAGCTTACAACACATTCCATTTTTAATACATCAAAAAGTTTCCAAGGCAACATTATTCAACGACTATGCCACTGTCCCAGTGCTAAGGAGTGAGTGGGGTGGGGCACACAGCCAGGGCTCAGGTACTCTTCTTCTCTTCACCCAGTAGGTTCACCGTAGCTTTCTTGACTGTTGGAAAGAAAATTGTATCAAGAGCCGTTAGTGTAAGCTCCACGTCTCCCTGGCAACTAGACAGCGTGGGTGACTCATGTGCAGATGAGCACACACTGAGGCTTGTCAAGGCTAAGAGGGCTTCCAGGAAATGGACGAAATGCCGCTGTAGAGCATGGCTCCATCCCTAAGCCGAATTCTTGAAGGTCAATCATCTAGCCTCAGTGGTTGGATGATATCATCACCTGAACTATCTGTCCTGTCTCCTTCAATCATCAAAAGCAGCAGAGATTGTCACGGTGACCAGAGTCAGAGGAAGGGACCATGCCAGCATTGTAAATATCTAGACTTGCTCACTGTGCCACTATCTCCCCACGACAGGAAGTGGCAGGTAAGATGGAGGTGAGGCAGAGTCTTCCGGAAGTGCCAGGGAGACTCCATAGGGTGGCAGCTGGTTTTGATGGAGCCCAGAGACTCCTCATGACGGCCAAGAATCCCTCTGTCCACAAGCCTCCTGACAGCTACCTTCCATTCCTCACTTAAAATCACCAGGCAAAGTTGACAAGAAAGACAGTCTGTCTTTCTCACCCAGCTACGTGAGAAATACCCAGTGAATCCAAACCAGCCAGCGGGCCAGCGGGCCAGCCTCACTTCCCTCCAGTTTCTAAACTCCTCTTTGGGGTCTACTCTCTTGGTCCAAAGCTAGAACTGAGCGAATACAAGAGAGGCCCACCCACTGTTGTGTAAGAAAAGAAGAGTTCAACACAGGCCTGGAAGCCAGCCAGCAAGCAGCATCCCTCCCTGGGTGTCCCTCAGCAATGGACTGTAACCTTTTCCTTCTCCACATTGGTTTTTGATGGAAGGTTTTATCATCACAACAGGAAGCCCTCTTGGTGATTATTTCCTGATGCTCATCCAGATGCTGAGGTTCCAGTCATATACCATCACCCAGCAGCAGACATGATTACAATGCCATACTAAGCAGGTCAACCTGAACTGAATTACATAGACGATACTCTAAAATACTGCCTGCAGTGGGCCGGTCATTTTTCTAACCTCATGACTGAAGGCCACACTAAATATGTCACTGACAGAGAAGCAGAGGAAATCCCAGAGACAAGGTGGCTACAAGCCTGTTGTCTGAGCCTGGGACATCACATCTCCACACATTACGCCAGTTGTCCCTACGCTTTACCTTCTTTAGTGATGGTATCTGCGGTCTCTTTGGCTTTGTCTTTCATGTCCTTCACCACGCTGTCTACCTGGGACTCATGCTTCAGGAAGACAGGACGGATGATGCGCCTGTAGAGCAGTTCAGCCCCATTAGCTGGGCTCGGGGCCATGCACCACAACAGGAAGCCACACTGTGGGGAGCAGAGCACTGGTGAGAAGGACCTGGCACTCTGGGACTACACCCAAGCCCCCACCACTCCGGGGACCGTGGTTGTTTCTGACATAGCCACTGGTACTCCCAGTGTTCTCTGAAGGCTAACTGGAGGCTTTTCTCAGATGGGAAAAAACACAATCATTAATGAACCAGCATGAGCTTTACAAAGAGACTATCTCATGAAAGGAGAGGGAAGGAGGGCTGGGAATATAGTCCAGCTGTTACAGGGTTAGCCTAGTGCGCTCAAAACCCTGGGTGCAAGGCCTAGCAAAAACTAGGCATGGTGGGTGGGGCCAGCCCATAATTCCAGCACCGTGTGGAGGTGAGGCCAGAAGATCAGATGTTCAAGGTCATCCTCAGCTACACAGGGAAGTTGAAGCCCACCTGGGGTATGTGAGACCATGTGTAAAATAAACAGTAAATGGAACACTTGTGAATGAGAGATAGGGAGAATGGCAGGAAAATAAAGGGAATATAAATATGTCATAATGAAACCCATCATATTTTAAAATTTGTATATTGTGTATGATTGAAATATGGTACACGTGTGTGAGTGTAGGGGCATGTGTGGAGGTTAAAGGTCAACTTTCAGGAGGAATCAGTTCTCTCCCTCCATTGTGAGTTCTGTAAGTCAAGTTCAAGCTGCCAAGCTTGCAGAGCAAGCACGGTTACCCACTACATCCATCATCTTGTCAGCTGAAATCCTTTTTCTTAAAATGGGTACCTACTAATAAAAACCAGTAAACAAGTGCCTGCACAGTAAACAAATGGCAACACAAGCATAAGGGCGGTGTTTAGATCCCCAGCACCATGTAAAAGTTTGATGTGGGGGGGGGGCTGAACACAGGCAGGTGAGCACACACCCTACACACAGACATGCAAGCAGGCTGAGGAATGCTTTTAACAGACAGGTTTCCATCAGCGTGGAATAGTCCTTTACACTGTATGAAGGCGTGTCACTGTGAAGCTACAGCTAGGCAGGGGAGACTGGGCTGGACAACCAGAGTGGGAGAATTCTAAGAAGGTCAGAGTCAGGGGAGCTACAGGAAGGAGCAAGTCATGCTTGAGGACAAATAAAGCCATGAGCCATGGCAACACACAGAATGGGTTAGTTATTGGCCAAGGATTTATAATTAATATTGAGTCTTGGTGTCAAGTTATTTGGCAACTGGTGGACAGGAAAGAAAAGTCTGTCTATATATGAATCCCAACATGGGGCATAGTAGACCCACATAAAACCCAAGAAAGCTTTAAAAAAAAAATTCTAAACACACAAAAACTGAAAAACTGAGTTAAGCATGGCTTCTTGGTAACCACCTTTTCTTGGTAGGCTGTTTGCTAGTAGCAAGCAGAGGTAAGGCTCCTTTAAGAGATGGCTTCCTGGCTCAGTGCTAGCCACAAATACAACCATGGCTCTTTTAAGAGGCCCTGCTACGGAACACTTAAATGTGGTTTATAAGCAATAGGCGGCATGCTACTTGGTGAATTGTGGGCCCAACAAGTTCCCAGAGCTGGGACAGTAAATGTGGCTCCTGCTGGGGGTGGAGCCAGTCACCAATGCCATGTGCTAAACTTAACCATGCTATCAATTAGCATTGCAGTGTAAGATTCACCTCGTACAATCAAAAAAACATTACAAATGCTTGGTAAAAACAGTTCCAGGCAGGAAAAAAAAAGCCTCTGAATGAATTACAGTGTGTTTAAAAATATACATAGGCAGTCACAGATTGAAAAAAATGAAGTCCTTAAAAGGGGAATAAAGTAATATTTTTAAAAGCCACATAAAAATGAAAACTATACATAGTCTGGATCCTGTATGTTATTGTGTTGTCTTTAGATATTCTGATTGCTATGAAGGAACAACAGTTGTTAAAATTCATTGGATTATGAAACCTGCTGGATTAAACCAACCTATGTATTTTAAAACTGTCTTGCCTTCAAAATACAAGTCAAAAGATAGGTTACTTTGGGGGAAGCGGTTATACTTTTATTTCCACAAAAAAATGAATGGCTGTAGATTTATTCAAAGTTAAAGATGATCAGGTTTGATTAAGGAAGACCCCCTGAAAATCCTGGCTACAAATATAAATAAGTTTGTTAGAACTACAAGACACATGACATATATTTTAATGCTCAAACATTAAAAAAAAAAAAAAAAAGGAATCAGACACCACTAAAAATGGATGGCAAAGGTAATCCAGTATCCAGAACAGCTTCAAGGCTGCTGGCTGAGATAATCCAGCCTCACAGAGTACTCCAGCCAAAAATTATCCTGATTTTCTCAAGATTCCCCCAAAGATTCCAGTGCCCCCAAACAGTCTACAGAACGATGCACATATTCCTAAAACATGGGCTATGGATCTTTATTATCATTTAGGAGGGGCTGGTTACAAATTATTATTGCTCTTAGTTTAAAAAATAAACAAAAAAGTTACATTCAAAGTCTCTCTAAAGGAAAAAAGAGCAATATGATATAGGATAGGAAAAAATGGGTAGATTATTAAATCTACTTTAATCCAAAAAAAAACATTAATCTCAAATTATTCTACATTGGCATGGATTTTGGTTTATTGATATAAATTTAAAGCTATTTTTACTATACTATATGTATGTTTCTACTCTTGTCTGGGGTATTGTGCTTATGCAATTCATTTTAAAACATAATGTATAATTAAGAAATACAGATTAATGGCCATCTATAGTAGTTAAACTTAATAGTCATGATAGGTATGTTTTCAAGGTCATAAACATATTTAAAAAGATGGTCTTCAAGCACTTCAAAGACTTATAGAATATGGCATTTAATATGTTTAATAACCTAAGGCTTTTCATGACGGTGAGAAACACTTGCTCCTGACAGCACCAATCTACATCAGGGAAGATAATAGGCACCTTCATATGGAGTTTTCCTTTCTTTATGGCAAAAGTTAGCCACGTGGGCAAAGAAACTGCCCTTGCCTCACTTGGACCAGCAGGAGGAAAAATAAAAGGGTGACTGACAAACTTTTCCAAAGCAAGGTGGGCCAGTCCTTCAAAATTCCCTCCTGAGAAATGTCTGTCAGATATACCAGGCCTGTCAGCCAAAATTGGGTGCCCATACATCACAGAAGAACCTAGGGTAACTGTCCAGGCAGCCAGACGTCCCTGTCGTTAGGTAACATTTCATCTTTCTAGAATCTTTGATGGAATTGAAGACTAGATACTCATAGTTAAAGTTTTCCTTAGTTATGATACAAGATAAATTAGGTATAAGACAAAGGTTAATAGAAATGGGTTAATTTAAGTTGTAAGAGCTACTTAATAATAAGCCTGAGTTATTGGCTGAGCATTTAAATTAATATTCAGTCTCGGTGTTGGTTATTTGGGAACTGGTAGCAGGAAGGAAAAGTTTATCTACAGGTCAGCATGGGCAAAATAGCAAAACTTCAAAGAAAGGAGAAGGCTGTGTTTCTGGCTAGTATTTTCACACAATATGACTATTTTCAGGAATAAATTATCCATGGAGAGACAGATACTTCTGTCTCTGAAGGCATTAAGGTGAAGTGCAAATGACTCTCCAGACTAAAGAATCAAAAGAGGTCTGTGTAGGCAACTCCGGGTGTTTGGGTCCTTTTTATGTTCTGTAGGATTTTAGGAAAATCATGATCTGCTTTTTATGGTTTTATACATTTATTTATTTATGTGTACAAATGCTTGCCTGCAAATATGTATTATGACATACATGTCCACAGAGGTTGTATACTTCTGGGACTGGAGTGATGAATGGTTGTGAGCCACCATGTCGGTGCTGGGAATTGAACCTGGGTTCTCTGGAGGAGGACAAAATGCTCTTACTGCTGAGCCATCTCTCTAGCCCCATGATATTTTTATCAGCTAGCAGTAGAGCAATAGTATCATCTAAAGTTCTCACTATTAGTGGAACCCTCTGAAATGCTATCTACCTACAGAGACACCACTTGTGGGAAATCCAGCCAGGCAGATTCTCTTTTCTGCAAGGCTAATAGATGGGACCAGAGTCAAATGTCTCCAGTTCTGTCTTCAGTGTGATTACTCTGTAGAATACACAACCGATTATCCACTTGGTACTTCCTGGTACCCTCTTGCTATTGTCTTGAGACAGTAAAATAATTACTGCTCTCTACCTACATTCTCAGCATTTTCCAGTTCTCATATTAAAAATAAGGTTAATTACTGTTCAACTCTCAAGGCAATGCCCAGATATTGGCTTTCAAAACTCCATCTTAATCTGTGTAACTATTTTTCACACAGATGTGACCTCATTTTTCATCAAGGTCTCTTCTAAGTGCCAGCTGATACCTCTCCCAGAGGCAACCAACCACACAAGCCCACTCTTAACCACAGTTCAGATGGAGGGCACATACTGCTCTAATGTGTGTGACATTGGCACTGACATAGTGAGTCCATATGTGACAAGCCAGACACCTCTGTGGCTCCAAAGCTATCACCACCCAAGAGTAAGGTTACAAACTGATAGTCAGGGACCAATCCTGGCAAGAAGTTTATTAAAGCAAATGCCAGAGAAAATGTCTATCAAGGCTGGAGATGTAGCTCAATGATACAGTGCTTGTCTAAAATGTACCAGGCCTAGGGTTCAATCCCCAGAAACACACACACACACACACACACACAGATTCAGATTTTATATATCAACTTTTCCTACTATGCTACAATGAACTGGTTGGAAACTTAAGTCTATCATTTATGTTCTGATGCCATGAAAGTAGAAGAAAAACTGCCTGGAGAACAAGAGAGGTGGAAATGTGCTCAAAATATGGTATATACTTTATGAAATAGATTTATGCAGACTTGTATAATTAATAAAGGAAGAAAATAACTAAATCTAGATTTTAGAAAGCCTCTGTAATATAGCCACAGAAAGGTGACAGGCTAAACTTAAAATCAACTGTTCAAAAAATAAATTAAAAAATCAATTGTTCAAGCCATGCACAATAATTT